TGATGGTTGCATATGGAACGGAGAGATTTTAAAACAGAGACTAAGCGCCGGTTCCAGTATTTGGCACATACGGTTAGAAGGCCATACATGCTGCAGGGTTGTCTCTCCCGCGCTTCTCGAACATCACGTTCCTTTTCTGTACATGGTATTTGGCTAAACCAACCAACAGACTAGCCAATGTTTCCGTGCGTTGGCTCGGATAAGGCTTGCTCTACGTCGCGCACGTGGTAGACGGGATGCATTTATTGAAGCTCATACGTCTTGTTTACGGACTTGGATTTGTTTTTATTCACTTACATTGACTTTTCTTCACTCTTATGCAGTCCGTATGTCACACTGACTCTTGCAGATCAATACCAGAACTGCATAAACAACAGTCTGTTTGTATGGAATAAAGAGCTTGTGCTCTCCGTTCGCAACATTTCCTTCCTGTAAATGGCCGTCTCGAATATTTTCATTCGCTTCTCGTCGTCATTCGTCGCGCTTTCACCGGTCATCCTGTGTTTTCCAAACCTTTCGGATGAAATAGGATCACCATCACAATGTGTTCTGTGTAAGATGTCCTCCTTCCTGCACTCACTTTGCCCCAGTTGCTCGTTATCCTTCTCGTTTCTTTTTTATGTCGCTTTCATTTCCCTTTTTGGCACAGCCTTCCTTGTTAGTCCTACGGCCAACAGTTCCAGTCGGCCTATAAAAATCGGCCTAGGGCACACCCAGCCCACTAACTCTCCACAGAGTGCCCAAAATGGGTCTCGCATTCGCCTAAAACTTAAAAAGAGTGCAAGTGCAAACGGAACAGGAAATGACGAAGGACATGGAGCAAACGATCAACCGTGAAATAAAGGCACCACTTACACGCTACTTGGACGCGATTGAGGAAGGCACGACCGAGCCGTGGAATATTCGCACGTATGCGACTCACAAATCTGGCAGGAGTGGTCTTTCCTGCCCAAATAGCTATTTTCTTCGCCGAACACAGCATGGTGCAGCCCACGATTACTATCATTCTGGCAACCTCTGGGCTCAAGAGAAGTGTATCTTCGTGCCGCGTACTTATTTGTGCGCAACACGTGCATCGATCGTAACATAATCTCGAGACTGAAATAGAGTGCATGACAACATGATACACGTACGTCGTAGGTAACATTGTCAACCTCGCCTACAAGCTACAATCGCGCCTTCCTCATCCAAATTTTCCAGAAACGAGTAAATGCTGAGCTCATCCCACGCTTGCCAGAAGCACGAAATACCCATCGAGGAAGGAACAGCCAACATGTGGCCACGAACCAATACGCCGTGATCACCTAAACTGCCCGAACCCAACGGAGAAGGAGCGCCTCATACGTAACGCGTCCCTGTAGGGACCTTGTCTGTTCTTCAGATGCAAAATCGGCCACCAAAGGACGCCGCGGCTATCTTTTTCTTAGTCGTCGCTTCCTTTCCTCTTGCCTAGTCCGCCTGGTGGAAACCTCGACTTGCCAGGCTCCACTCCAATCGGTACGTCTTCGCATCTCGACTCTCTTCCATTTATTCCTCATTTTTTGGTCTTTCTCACAGTCCCTTTGCACATCTCCTCCCACTATGGAGCAGGGCCGCATGCATTGGATCCCGACGCTCGTCAATCATTTGCCCTACATACGGATAGATAATTGCCCGGCAGTGCCCAGGAGCCACCTTACTCTCCTGTGCCGACGTCTCGTCGTCTCGTCGTCTCGTCGTCTCTTCTTTCTGTATTGACCTGATGTTTTCTGCATCTTAGAGCAACGACATCGTCAACGAATAGATTATCCATCTCACGTCTTCCATCTTTTCTTTATCCTTGCACTCGGTGCCACACAATACAGTGTCTCACCTCGGACACGAGCAAAGCAGTTCACGTCTGAACGTCCCACGCCGTCACCGCCGAAGAAAAGGGCGTTACTGCCTTAAGACGGCAGTACGAAAGGACGAAAGTGGGACACGATCCTAGAGCAACAAAAGTCGAGGATCTCACCTATTCCGCAGTGCTGGGCAATTGAATTTTCCCACTCGCCATTCTGCAGCCATGCCGGCTGCGGAAACCACCTCGGTCAAGTCGGTGGCTTCGACGGTGCCGACACCGAGGCTGGAGACGGAAAATGTATCGTGTCAACAGAAGCAAGACCGGCCTGCCAAAGACAGCCATCGTTCCCCAGCAATAGCTGCCGGCGATATCGAGGCAGCCACCGCTACGCCGCAAGGCGACGATAATGGGTTCCCCATATCCAATCTCGCGCCCTGGCGGTTTTGGACTCTCAGTTTAGGGTAAATTACTATTTTTTTTCTTTCCGTTTATTTCACATTGCCTTGCTCCTTGCTCATAAGACAGTGTCGGACTCGGCCTCTTTTTAGCCATGCTGGACTCTTCCATTGTCGCAACCAGTCTGCTCACCATTGGCCGCGAGCTCGGCTCCATCGAGCTCATCAATTGGGTCGCCCTCGCCTACACGTTGGCCTACCTCAGCTGCGCCGTCATATTCGCCCGCATCGCGGATATTGTCGGCCGCCGCAACGCTTTTCTCGCTGCCTTTCTCATCTTTTTCGGCTTCTCTATCGGCTGCGGCTTTGCCAAGACGCTGCATCAGTTGATTGCCTTGCGTGCTCTGCAGGGTGTCGGCGGCTCCGGCTTGTATTCGCTGTCCATGATCATCTGGCCCGAGCTGTCACCCATACACCTGAAGCGCCACGTTGCCAGTCTGGCTGGCGTGGTTGTTGGTATGGCAGGCGTGCTGGGTCCGATTTTGGGCGGCTTGTTGACCAACTATGCATCCTGGCGCTGGATTTTCTGGATCAAGTATGTCATTTTATCGTTTCCGTATTGTTCGCTCACTCCCTCACTCCCTCCCCCAATTGCTAACAATGTAGTGGACCAATCGGCTTCTTTTCCATGGCGGTGTTTGCTCTTACTTGGCCCGACGAAAAGTACCTGCCTGCCATAGCGCGGCATCCATGGTCGTCACTTGATATCATCGGATCCATTTTGCTGATTACAGCTGCCGCCCTCGTCACCTTTGCCTTTCAGAATGCCGGTGTCAACCCAGACCAGTGGAGCAAGGCCATTTTCCTGGCACCCCTTATCACGGGCATCTTCTGCTGGGCCGCACTGTTCATCTGGCAAGCCATTGTCGAGACGCGCTGGACGAACATCATGCCTGCCTTCCCGCTCAAACTCCTCCGTAACCATGTCTACGCGGCAGCTGCCCTCATCACGCTGCTCCTCGGCTTCCCCCTTTTTTCTGTCATTTTTACCTTTCCCCTGCGCCTGCAGATTGTCAACGGCAAGAGCGGCCTCATGGCGGGTGTCATGATGCTTCCCCTGCTAGTCGGTGTCTCCTTTGGCAGTGCCCTGACGGGGTTTGTGAATGCCAAGAAAAACCGCCTCACCGAGACGCTCCTCGTCGGAGGGGTCCTCATGGTCATTGGCTGCGCGCTCGAGACGACACTGTCCGACTCGGCCACGCTTCCAGCCAAGGCGCTCGGCTTTCTCCCCTTCATCGGCCTTGGCCTCGGGCTCTGTATAACCACCACCACCGTCCTGGCTGCCACTGAGGCACCACCGGGCGACCATGCAGCGTCCCAGGGCATCATCGCCCAAGCCCGTGTGCTGGGAGGCAGCATAGGCATTGCGGCTTCGTCGGCGATCCTGGCGCGACAGGAACTGGCCAAGCTCGGCACCGTGGTCACGACAGACGTCCCCGCCGACCTGACAGGCGACTCACCCACGGCCGTGTTGGTGCGCCAAGTCTTTAATGCGGCCTTTACGGAAAACATGCGCATCTGCGCCGTCATTTCGGCCGTCGGCATTGTCGTTGCCTGCGGCACCTACACCCGCAACCGCCAACCCCTCTTGGCAGTACTGGAGGAGCGGGCGAAGCAAGAGGCAGCCAAGCAGGAGGCTGCCGCGGTCTAGAGTGCCCAAGTCGCAGCGACAACCAACTGTTAAGCTGGCGCCGCCACATTGCGTTGCGAGTCGGAGCAACCTGACGGCGCGTCAAAGAAGCGATTTGAGTTTGAGTTGAAGTGGTTGCCTTTGTTTAGTTTTCGTCATTTATTTTTGTTTTTATTTTGTTCTAGAACGGCTTATACAGAACAATACCCTGGGGCAGCTGTCCGCGACAGATCGTAGGACGGCGTTTGAAATTAGAGGACACGGCGAACGGGGTACTTTAAGGGCGCATTTTCATATCGGGATTTTGATAAAGGATTTCGGCGTTGAGATAACGGAGCAAAGAATACGTATTAACAACTTTTTAAGACAGAAAAGGCGATAACGAAACGGCGACTTACACGGAGTAAAACAACGACCAACTGCGTGTAAAAAGTACCGGGTCTAGTGAGAGCGTCGAGTCCGGAAAACAAGACGAAGCTGCTTGCATGATCATTTATTTGTCTGTTTTCCCAAGTCGCCTCTTCTGCAGTCCACACGGAATTTATCACTGGCAGACGCCGTTCGTCGCGAGGATTTCGTTTGCATGCGGTGCTGCATTGAAGCTCGGCCAAGTCGTAGATCATTGGCCCGACGTTCAGCTAGACGCTCTCTTCTCGCAGCTACTGGCTTGTTCCGTAAAGTCCTTCATGCTTGGTCATTCCGAATCGACGCTTGGAGTCAATATCGCCCTTTCTGGGCATACCTAACGTTGTCTCTGACGAGTCCTTTTGTACCTTCCTGGAACTGGCCTTTAGTGTGTGGGCCGTTACGGAAAGAGCAGCCCGGGCGAGTTTGGGGCAGACCACTGGGGCGCGATTGCATCACGGCCGCGGGGTTTTCGTGTGCGGGCCTCTCCTGCAGTTCCTTGCCTTGCACCTCGGAGGGAATAAGACGCCATTTCCGCAGCAGCGATCTCGGGTCCCGCCTTCCCTCAAATCAATACAACGCGATTGCCCCATTCGTCCTATCGGAAGTGCTGCCCATATGTGAGCTCTTGTTTCGCATTTTCCCTTTTTTTCTTTTCTTATAAACGTCCCCTTCCCCCTTCTTCCCTATGTTGCCTTCTGCTGCGCGCACAATTTCTCGTCTCTGCCGTCCATCTGCCGCATTCGCGAAACGGTCTTTCACGGTCTCTGTCCCTCGGCCGATTGCTCCCGGTTCTCCTTCTTGCTCCGTTGCTGCGACCACCCGTGCAAGGACCACCGTTTCCTGTCGCCTTGTCCCTCGCACACACAACTTCAGCACAATGTCCGCCGTCGCCAAGCGCCTCGCCGGCAAGACCGTCGTCGTCACCGGCGCTTCCTCCGGCATCGGCCGCAGCTGCGCCTTTGAGTTTGCCCGCACTGCTGCGCCTGCCGGTGGCTTGCGTCTGGTTCTGACGGCGCGCCGCATCGATACCCTCCGCCAGATTGCCGACGACCTCGTCAAGGAGCTCGGCGCGGACAAGGTCCAGGTCCTGCCCGTGCAGCTCGACGTCAGCGACCGCAAAGCCGTGCGCGGTTTCGTCGAAAGCCTTCCCGAGGAGTGGCGCGATATTGATGTCCTGGTCAACAATGCGTACGTTTTTTGGTCCTCGCTCCGCTCGTTTTTGTTTGGCACATTATTTTCTCGATTAGCACGCGCTGCTCGCTGAGCTTGCTTGGTCGTCCATCACATCCACTAACCATAAAAGTGGCCTCGTCAAAGGCGTCGCCCGTGCGCCCGACATCGCCGAGGAGGACATTGACGTGATGCTCGCCACCAACGTCACCGGTCTCGTCCACATGACCCAGGCTGTCCTGCCCACCTTCCTCAAGCGCGGCTCCGACGGCGGCGCCGGCGACATTATCAACATTGGCAGCATTGCCGGCCTAGACCCCTACCCCGGCGGAAGCATCTACTGCGCCACCAAGGCCGCCGTCCGCAGCTTCTCCGAGAGCCTGCGCAAGGAGCTCATCTCCACGCGCATCCGTGTCATTGAGATCGACCCGGGCCAGGTCGAGACTGAGTTCTCGGTCGTGCGCTTCTACGGCGACAAGTCCAAGGCTGATGCCGTCTATGCGTACGTCGCGTTAACCCATAACCCATGCTCGTATATTGTCATGTCCCGTTCCCAGGCAGCGCTAACACCGACAGCGGCGTCAACCCTCTGACGCCCGAAGACATTGCCGAGGTTGTCGTCTTTGCCGCGTCCCGGCCGGAGAACGTCGTCATTGCCAACTCGCTGATCTTCCCCCAGCACCAGGTATGTCACATCTTGACGTCCATTCTATCCATACAGCATCTTTCGTCTCATCTAATGCGTCCAGGGCGCCGCTGGTCTCCTCTACAAGAAGCAGTAAAATCTGCCGTTTCGATGTACAACAGATCTAGTCTGCAGACGCCGGCATCCGGGGTGCAAAACTATAGATGTATTCTTGATAAAAGAAGCGTGTCCAGTGCATTGCAGACGGAGTGCTTATGCGTGTTTCATGGTGCTTTTTCTCGATGTCTCGTCGTATTGCCTTGCCATCTGTTCGATCCTTCCCCTTCAGCCGTCCCCCGCCAATTCGGCACTAGCACCCCTCGTCGCCAAGACGAAATAGGACCGGCAGAAAAACACGCGGGGTTTGGCCAATTGCGCCTTCCTCTATGGCTCCCGTGCCAAGCCCCGTACACCGACTGCAACCGTCACCACGTGACCTACCTTATCACCACGAAACGTCTTTATCGCGTCTTATCGCTTCTTATCGCGCGTGGCGGCAGGCGGCAGAATTTTTTGGCCCTTTCCCGTTTTGGGCGATTTTGTTTTTCGGTGTGCATTCTGCTGGTCTTTGGGTGTCCACAGCGCCTGCCCGTGTTATTGTTTTCGCTCCTGCCCTTGCTCCCCGCCGTGTGCAAAAAAAAAAAAGTAAAAAAAATTACACCTGCCGCCCATCACCGCCCATCGCCAAAGGCGAAAAAAAGAGAATCCACGAAAACGAATCCACAATCGAAAACGAACGAGAGCCACTTTGTCTCTCACCGCCAGGCGACAAGACGCACAGCGCAACCCCCCCTACACCGCAGCCCCTCGATCCTCGACGATCCTCGACGCAACGACAAGACACGTCGACGCATAGCAACAACAAAACAGGGACCACGCGTCGTGGAACCCAATTGACGATTGGACGATTTGGACAGTCCGCCGCGTTGACACGACCAAAATGGGCCGCAAGCCGAATCCCATTATCCTGCAGTTCTTCGAGCGCGGCCCACGGCTGGCCGACAACAGCAACCGCTATCCTCACCGGTGCAAAGCATGCGGCGAGTCGTTCCCCAAGGGCCGTGCCGAGTCGCTGATGACACACATCTCCAAAAAGTGCCCTGCTATCAGCGAAGCCGACCGGATTAATGCGTGTCTCTCGCTGAACGGCCTGAGCCACCACATTGCGGCGGCGGCGGCGGCATCGGCGAGTGCGGGTGGCGGCGCGGGAGGCGGCGGCCAAGGGGGTGTGCGTGGATCGGCAAACAGCCGCATGCAGCACCTGCAGGGCCTGCAGCAGCAAGCCCATCGCCTGGCCGCGGCCAACGGCGGACCGAGCCAGACACACGCCCACCACCACCACCTGCTGGCCGCAAGCAACAACGGCAACGGCGCGAACAATGCGGCGGCAGCAGCGGCAGCGGCGGCGGCCGTTGCAGCGGCTGCGGCGGCCGTGTCGTCCTCGCCGTCCACGTCGGCTGTGGACGCCGCCGCCATCCAGCGCGACTGGACGGCCCTCGAGACGCTGGCCGAGGTGTCGCGCCAGATCGACCTGAGCGAAAAGCACGACGACCGCGCGCCCGGCGGCGAGGGTGACGCGACAAACGGGGCGAATGCGAACGCGACAGCGGGCAAGCAGAACGGCGACGCGGCCGGTGCCTCGTCCTCGTCGGTGAACCACTTCGACCCCTCTGACCTTCTTCGATCGGACCCGAACACCATGGAGGAGGACACGGACGCAGATCAGAAGTTGACTCCGGAGCAGTTGCAACAGCAGCAACAACAGCAACAGCAGGCCGAGGTGGAGAAGATGCTCAGTGCGGCCGCCGACCAAGACGGCATCACATTTGACCAGATCAAACGTCTCGAAGAGGCCAACCTGTCTATGGCGGCCGCCGCCGCCTCTGCGCAGCTGAACCCCTCCCTGCTCGACCCTCAACTGCGGGCAGAAGAGCCCGTCGCCGCGACCGCGGCAGCTGCCGTGGCAGCTGCTGCGGCCGCCGCGGCCACGGCCTCGAACAACGCCGGCACGCCGCAGTCGGACATGGCAGCCGCCAGTGCGGGCGTTGAAAAGCTTGGCGTTGACAGCGCCGTGGCCACTGGTGCGACGACGCCGGTGGATGCCACCCCCAACAACATGGCCGAGACGGCCGTGATGACACCCGACGTCCACGTCAATGTCGACGGCGATGAGCCCATGCCCGACGCGCTTCTCACAGCCACGACGGGTGGTGGCGGCGCCGCCAGCGTGGCCGCAAGCCAGCCCTGGGGCGAGATCACGTACCTGGCCGAGAACGTCGTGCTGCCCGTCTTTCCTTCGTCAGCGGCGGACGCCCACCACCACCACCACCTGCTGCCCGCCAGCCCCGGCGACCCCAATCGCATCAGCTTCAACATGAACAACCCAAACGAGGTTGGCCGACCCAGGCAGGGCCGGGCCCGCTTTAACACGACGCGCCGCAAGGAGGTCCAGGAGGTTCGCCGCATCGGCGCCTGCATACGCTGCCGCATCCTGCGCAAGACCTGCTCCAAGGGCAGCCCCTGCGACCAGTGCCGCAAGGTCCTCTCGCCGCGCGTCTGGCGCTCCGGCTGTGTGCGCACCAAGTTCACCGAGCAGCTCGACATATTTTGTGCGGGCGTGCAGGTTGTTCTGGCGCAGCACCGCGCCAACCAGCTGCGCGAGACGGTCGACGTCGTCAACAAAGGCCTCATGATTGAGGCCACGCACTTCCCCGACAACCCAGCCGTCTCCGTCACCCTCGAGGTGTTTCAGAGCAACGGTCCCAAGGACCCGAGCGCGGTCGACAACGCTGCGGCTGCTGCCGCATCGTCTACGGCTAGCGCTGCTGATGTCGCTGCGGCTGCTGCGGCGGCTGCGGCGGCCGTGTCTGCTGCTGCCGCCGTGTCTGCTGCCGCCGCCGCCGCGGGCGATGTCACCCCTGCAGATGGTGGCGACGCCACCGCACCCGAGCCTGGCAACAATGAGGGGGCCGCTGCTTCAGCCACGGATGCGACGACGGCTGACGATTCGGCTGCACCCGCCACCGATGGCGACACAGAGGCTGCCAAGGCGCCTGCAGTCGAGGCGGTGCCGGCGCCGGCGCCGGCGCCAGCACCGCCCACCGTTGCGCCGCTGCACCTCTGGGAGAAAGACGAGATTGTCATGGTCGACACCGCCAAGGACGACGTCCCGCTGAAGATGGAGTACTACATGCGCAACATGCTGCCCGAGTTCATCCAGCGCGAGCCCTCGCTCTTTGTCCGCACCTTGCTGGAGACTGCCACCGCCCTGGCCCAGGAGACGAACAGCGTGCTCTTGAAAAAGGCCATTGAGCTGTGGGGCCTCGTCGAGATCTTGGACCGTGAGCGCCAGTGGCAGATCCGCGTCAAGCCGATGCCCGGAAACAACGGCAAAGCCAAGGAAACGGGCGAATCAAGCGACCCGGCCGACGGCAAGGACGGTAGCAGCGACACCGGAAAAGACGACGAGCCGCGCCAGATCCGCGCCGACACCGACCAGGAGACGTATACGACGCTCTGCCTGCAGCTGACTGCTGGGGCCGAGCGCAAGGCGGCCGCTATTAGCAACAGCCTGCTGACCACGATGCAGCGTCTGCTGCAGGACAGCAAGACCAAGATTGACTTTACCATGTACTTCACGACGCTGATCCTGCTCAACTGCGTCGAAAAGTCCACCTGGGGCTTCAAGGCCTGGGACCAGGAGACGCTGCGCGAGATGTGGCCGCTCGAGCGCACGCCGCACGACTTTGCCCAGCAGGGCTACGTCATTGCCGACCTGCTGCGCATGCTCCTGGGCATCCGCAAGGCCCTGCCGCGCACCTTTTGTCGGGCCAACGACGGCATGCTGGTCACGGAGGAGACCGACCCGGTCGTCCGTACCTTTTTCGACACCATCAAGTTAAACTGTAAGCCCTTGCCCGCCCTGTCACTCACCTCTCTGGGTATCGTCCACCAGCTAACAAAATAACAAAAAATAGACAACGAGGTTGTGGCCAAGCACGATCATCCCGTTTTCTCGCCGACTGACTCGCGGTCGTTTGAGCTGCTCTTCTGCTCGTCCCTGCTGGTCACCCTGCGGGACTAATCTCCTCTGGCTCCTCTCTCCTCTTTTTCGTTTTGCTTTTTGCGTATTTGATATTTTGCTTTTTTTTTTTTTTTTTGCGTTTTAAAGAGCTCTTCTATAACGTATTTGTGATGACTGGAAAAGGCGGCGTCCTAGAATTGTTTTCTCTTCTTGTTTAATGGTATTTTGGGCGTTATAGGGCTATAGGGCATCTCCGACTCACCATCGCGAGATCAAGGAAAAAACATACGAGGCACACAAACAAATGACGGGAACACGACAAAATTAGGGAGCTCCTAAGATGGGCATGACGGACTTGGAGGAATGGGGGATACAAACGAAATAAAAAGAAAAGCCTATCTGTACGGGGAGAGGAACAACCACTTGGCTCCGTCTCTCCCCTTTTTAAGATTTTATGTCTATTTCTCGCCAGAGAACACTGCAGGCTTTCATTATACCCTGCAAGTTTCTTGTTTTTGGTTTTCTGCGCACGGTTTATACTTCTTTTACTTTTTCCACATCTTTTCATTCATTGAGCAGGGCGCCTAAAAGCAGCTTATGTCGACGGGATGAAACAGGAGGGAAAGGTGCAAATTTGTCTCTTGATTTCGTTTTCTTTCGTTCAAAAGACGAGGATGTGATACGAACACTCATTGATGATACACGCAGTCTTTACCTTCATACTACCTACAAACACGGCTTTACAAAGTACGAAATACGAAATACGGTTCCTATTTCAATAGTGACCGGCGCAACGCAGTCTTATATCTTATATGTGAATTGCATGTGTATTTTGCACTGATCGTATGTTATAAAAAGTAATGTATATTGTACATGCCCGTGTGAATGTAGCACTGACAAGAGGCAAGCAGACAAAGAAACCAGAAAGCACGGAAAACCAAGAAACGATGAGATAAAACAATATGAGAATGGGAGTCAGAGGGCACAACAACAAAGGCGATGCAGGGCCAGAAGAGGCCAAGCAATAAGCCTGTCTATACCACCCGCTCCATGCAACAGAGCCGGCTCAATCC